GGGTGGGGGCCAGGGTGGGGGCCAGGGTGAACGGAGGTTGAACTACTGGGCCTTGGTGGGGGTCGTGCACACTCGCATGCACCATTTGGTAGCGCACCCTGGGCCAGACTAGCAGAAAATAGTGTGTGTTGGGCGACAAGGTCGGTTTTGGGTGTTAGGGTTACCGCCACTCCTTATGAAATCAGTAAAACCCGACGCCTCGTGATGCCCCGCGGAAACCCACGCGGACGAGTCCCCTCTCACCCCCCAACCTGCATCCAAATTTCACACCCCTGTTTGCATCCGACACACCGGCACGCACACTCATCTGCCGCCTCCATCACACCCACGCACCTTGCCTGGACCCACGCATGTGTGTTGTCTCGCAGACCCCGACAGGTTTGACATCCGCCGCCCCCTCAAGCCGAACATGGCGTACGGCTACGGCCCCCACGAGTGCATCGCGCGAGAGCTGTCGCTCGCTGAGCTGGCGGCCGCGTTCTCCGGTGCGCAGCCGTGAATGTGCCTGTGTATGCGTTCGTTGTGGCTGGCAGAGCCTCGCCTGACTGCTGGGCCCGAGCCGCCCACAAGCTTATACCCGATACCACACAATTGAATCATGTTAGTCACCCTTGTCGTGAAACCCCAACACTCCTCCTGCCCTCGGCGTTAATGCAACCTCGGACGATGCAACATTCCAGGCCTGCTGCGCCGCCTGCCCGGGCTCAAGCTGGCGGTGAGGCCCGAGGAGCTGCAGTGGAGCGACCCCACCCGGGACGTCGGCCTCGCCAAGCTGCCCGTCACCTGGTGACGCGGTGACGCCGCGTGACCACGCGGCGTTCATCACCCGTTAACGGCGCGGCGGCGGGGCGGACCTGTCGCCCGCGCGGTGCTGAGCGGAGTGCGTCGGTGACTCGCGCATGTTGACGGGGAATATGAGGCGCGACTGAAGCTGATGAGCTGAGCGCTTGGCTCAAGTTCACTGACGTTGGCAAAGGGCTGTTGGCGGTGGGCGCCTAACACCTGGGAAGCACCCGGCCTCGAGTCCCTTTGGAAGAAGGCACAACGCCCCTCTTCTCGACGGCGGGCTGTGTTACGGTGTGCTTGGAGCTTGGGCATACGTAGATCCACGCTTGTTGTGTTGCACACAGATTCAAGCAAGGGGTGGCCGTCATGGCCCCTCTCCAGAGTACCACTGCACACTGCGGGCCAGGCCATCAGGTGCCATCAACGCAGTTCTGCGGCGTCGCCCATCCCCGCATTCCTCGCGCTGCCCCCCTGGTCACCAGGACCCTGCCCTGCATGTCAGTGTTTGTCCCCTGAGCTGAACCCAAACCTCGCAGCGTCGCGGCTCGACTGGAGCGCGGCAGCCTACGTAATCACCACGCACACAGAAGTGCGCGGGGGCGGTCTCCCCTCTTCCAGGGGTGCTATTTGCTGGCAACTTCCCCCAAGCGACCACCCTGCAACCCAACCGTGCACAAGCCATCGTCGGCCCATCGGTGCCCGGTCGTTGCCCCCTCCCACCCCCGTTTGCACCCTACGTACCCCTCCAAGCCCCAGGGCCCCGATCCCACTTATGCCTTCCCTGCACTCCCCCTCCTGCACATTTCAACAATACGGGCCCCTTCGTCCGGGCCCCTCCACAGCCATTTTTTTTTCCGATCACGCAGCCGCACGAGGTCGTGACCAAACCGCCACCCTGCTGCATCAGGCACCACTGGCACCTTATGCAAACAGACCCACGGTTGGTGCCGCGCTTGCTGCGGCAAGCACCAGGCGCACTGCTGGCATTGCTCCCACGCACACGCCCCACCTCAGAAGTCTGTTCTCTCCTCATGCGTCATGCCTTCTCATCTGTTCTTAGGTCTAAACCGCGCGCAGCGGTCAATTGGTTTGTGGCGCCGCTTTTGCGTGGTGCCTCCTGCATACACGGTTTGTGAGTCCGTTGAGTCTGGCCTTTTTGCTAGACTCCCAAGAATGAAGAGGCTGTCATCGAATCGGAAGCGTGGCCTTGGGCCCAGCCGGTTCAGTTGATGCATAACCAGGGACAAGGCAGGAGGCATCCACCACCTGTGCTGCCGTTCGCCTTGCGGCCGGCACCCCAGCAGCGGGGTGGCCAGGATTGGGGTTTGGGGATTGGTGCATGTTGGTGGGTCCCCAGGCAAAGCGATTTCCATCTGTGCATCCACGCGTGCTCATCCCGCCTGCATGCAAGCAGTTGTCGTAACCTCCACCCACCAACAGCCCGCGGCAACGGCCACCCTAAGAGCGACCGGCGCTCGCTTCATGCGCCTCGCGCATGACCTGGGGCTGGCTCGGCGTGCGCCGGGCGTGCTGAGTGTGCCTGGCCCTCTGGATGGGTTGCTGTTGGGTGCTCGCGCGGGGCTTGAGGCTGACCGATGTGGGGACGCATGCGGTCATGCGGACAGGCAGTGTTTGGGCCACCATGACCACACTTCAGGCTGGACCTGCAGCTTGCCGAGCGGGTGCAAGATGATAGTCATGGCAACACATTGCGGCCCCCGCTGACTGCACTCTCGCAAACGGGCGGGTTTGCACCTGCCGTTGGCCAGCGCGCCGTCAGCGCAGCAGCGGAGCGCACTTCCCGCCGCAGTCGCAATGGCGAAGAAGCTTGCCTGCACCAGCCGAAAGGCACATTCATCAGCGGTGTAGAGCCCAAATCTCGTTTGATTCTTGACACGACACTCGTAGCTCACAACAACGACTCGCCACGATACTGTAGACATTCACGAGACTGCCAGCTCACGACCTGATCACGCGAGCGAGCGCATGGGGAGGCTTTGCCGTCGAAAAAACAGCGTGAGCAGCATAGTGCGATGCTGCACCTTCGTGGTGCTCGCCCTGGCGGCCTGCGCTCGGGGCCAAAGCCCGTCCCCGGGTGACTCGGCACGCGCCGCCGCCTTGGTCCCCGGACACGCAAGGGGCGTTGCGCCGCCCCTCGATAACCGCGAACCGGCCGTGGACCAAGATGACAGCAACGCGGTCCCATATTACGGCGACATGCCGCCAGGTGAGGGGCCTGCGGCGTGCGAGCGCGTGCCCTGCCCTGCTGTCCCCGCCCGATGCCCTCCGCCGCCCGCCGACCCCTGCTCTGCCGATCGCGTCGCGTGCAGCACATCCCATCCGCCCCAAACCAGCGACCAAAGCTCGCCGGCTCCTCCCCGCCCCGTGCCGCGCCCTGTGCCGCCCACAATCCCCGCCCCTCGCCGCGTGGAGCAGCCCCTGCTGGCGGTGCCGGAGGCGCGGCGGTCCCCAAAAACGGTGCCGCCGGGAGCGGCGGCGGCAGCGGCCTGGGGGTCCTGGTCCTGGAGGATGCTGACGAGGCGGAATACGCGGAAGACTTCTCATGCCTGGCCGCCCTGGCCCCCTGCGTCTGCAGCGGCGACTGCGTGAGTTCTTCGAAGGGGGGTTAGGGCCGTCTGGGAGGGCTGGGCAGTGCGCCGGCTGGGCAGGATGGATTGTGAATTGCAGCAGCCGCCGCGAGCGAGGCCAAGCGACGCACCAGCGGGAACACCGGACACTCTGCTGCGCTGCGCAGCGTTGCACGGCCCCGCCCTTGCTCAACAGCCCCTGC